AGCAGCTGCTCAATAGCAATGTGACGGACGTTGAGCTCGGAGGCCAGAGAGTCCTTCTCTTGGACTTGTTGAGTCAGCTCTTCAAACACATCTGCAAGAATATCATTAGGTTAATGCACTTGGTCCCTGTAATGTCACACAGTTAAGCAGCAGTAACAAACATCACTGTGAAAGAGGCACAGACATTTAAATGGGCTCATGTACAACAACAGTGCTTTTTCTGGTTCCAGCACAGCTTTGTACGCATTGCAAACTGAACAGGATCACTAGTTTTTAGTTTTAGGTGACCTGAACCAAAGTGTATCAGATTGTAACTCAAAACAAAGCTGACTCTGACTCTACCAGCAATAGTGTGGCCAGCAGGACCAGAGCAGTGATCACCAACCCTATATTGAGCACTGGTGAGGCACCTCAAATCTTGGGTTCACTTTTGGGCCTCACATTGCAAGAAAGACACTGAGGGCAATGGAGCAGGGGAAGAGTCTGGAGCACAAGTCCTGTGAGGAGCAGCTGAGAGAGCTGGGGGTGTTCAGCCTAGAGCAGAGAATGCTCAGGTGAGACCTTATCACTCTCTATAACTACCTGAAAGGAGGTTGCAGCCAGGTGGGGGTCAGGCTCTTCTCCCAGGTAACAAGCATTAGGACAAGAGAAAATGGCCTCAAGTTGTACCAGGGGAAATTTAGATTGTATATTAGGAAATATTTCTTCATGGAAAGGGTTGCCAAGCATTGGAACAGGCTGCCCAGGGTAGTGGTGGAATCACCACCCCTGGAAGGCTTTAGAAGACCTGTAGATGTGTCGCTGAGGGACATGGTTTAGTGGTGGACTTGGCAGTGCTGGGGGAATGATTGGACTCAATGATTTAAAGCATCTTCTCCAACCTTAACGATTCTATGATTCCAGTCAAAAGTCTTAAAGAAAATACTGTGCCAGTTTACAACACCACAGCAGGTTATATAATAAAAGCAGCTAGATATCTATATATATCACAGTTCCATGTAAAACAAGAGATTCCAGTTCAAAACTTAACTGATATAAAGGCAATTAATTTTTTTTTTAAAAACTAGCCTACTTTTACCCTTTTTCTTTTAATCACAAAGCAACACAAACAAAAAAAAATCTCACCCTGGATTTGCTTGAGCAGTTTTTCATTAAGCTGCTTTAACTCTCCTGAAGTCATTGTAGTCACTGTAACAATAAAATCTGTTATTACTACTACCATAGTCACATAAAAATCCCTTAAGCAGACCCCTATTTTCTCAAATTTTCTCCTACTGGCATCTTAATAATCAACGGATGTGTGGCACTAAGCCAGAGGCAACATTATTTATCAGTCATTTGTGGAAAGTTTGAAAATTCTCTTTTTCATGGTGACATAGACAAGAATTTACTCCATAGGAGAGCCCTCTCTGTGATCTCAATGAGGTGGGAAATCAGCCCTCAAAACACTAGTATCCAGAATCAGAATTGCCTGATGCATCTAAATACTTCACCTTTCACTGACTGCAAAACATGATTTCCCCAGTGAAACCCGTGCAAACATCTGTTTAATTGTGGGCAAGTCCTGCTACATTTGCAAGGCTGCAGGAAACACCTTCCTGACAGAATTTTCATTACATACTACCAGTTTTGATGATCAAATTTTGTGCTTTATGCACAGAATAATAACACAGAGTTTCCACTGAGTACCTCAGTAAAAACGATGAGGAAAAATCTTAGTTCAATATGAAGACAAACATATAAAAATAGGTTTCCTTCTGTGCTCCTAGTGAGAACTAAAAGATGCTCTGCATCATTCAAAAACCTTTCTCTATCTCAGGTTGCATGCATTGAACATCCTTGTAGAAAATACATATCAAGCCTCAAAGGAAGGAACTGTTAAAGTATTCTACACTGCCCTTGATCAACAGCAGCAAGCAGGGAAGCACTGGCCTATTTGCTAGAAATCCTTCAACCCTGCAGTGGTGGGCACATGTGGTACCATGCCTGCTGCTGAGATGCCCTTGGCAGCACGGTGAAAAGTGACAGTCCTGAACACCACAGGAGCATACAAGGTACTGACACAGGCTTTAAGACCTCCTAATTTTAAAATACAGCTTTTAAACTTCAGCTGAGCTGTTTCTTCTACAGCTTAACAAAGCTCTCACTGCATACTTGAGAAAAACCTGTGCTGCAGTTTTTGTGCAGAGATGACTCAGTGCAGAAGATTTCTACATTGCAAATTTAAAGCCCAAATTCTGAAAAAGATGAGTTTTACCTACCCACAGGATTATTCGATTATCCTAAGCCTTCTTTTTCAAGCTTTCTGACATCTTACAGTTGTGGGATGTGAACTTGCAGACTGTACTGCCAAACTAAAGAAGCTAGAAATTGCTAACACAGCTTGCTTGGTACTCAAGACCTAAGCCCAGTTATGAGTTAAACAGATTCAGCTTTCCCCTCCATCAGACAGGTACAGTGGTGCTCCTTCCCACCTTCAGCTACCAATACAACTGAAAAGTCCTTTCTCACATCATCTCACCCTTTAAGCTCCATAAAAACCCTGACAGAATTTAATATAGTAATTGACAGCTAAACACTCAAGATTTTTTTCTCCCCTTTTATACCCAGTGGCAGGATGCTACTTCCCATTTCTTCATCATTTTGTCAACTAGCAGACAGGCTGGTTCACACATTTCATTTGTGTGTTTTGGGACAGGACTGTTTCATGTCACATTATTCTGATACAGAAAGGGAAAAGGAACAGAACATTGAATTTAAGTGCTAAAACACTGTTCCACCCATAGGTGAGGTAAATTATAAAAAAAATATTGTCCAAGCTATTGACAGTTACATTAATGTATTTTTTGCAACAAGAGTACTTTTTCAAGAGCTGGACTTTGATGATCCTTGTGGTGCCCTTCCAACTCAGAATATTCTGTGATAAGAAGGTAACTAATTCTGTCAGAGAAAGTCTAAGTTTTCCTCTAGCATAAAAACTTTAAATAACCATAGAATCTCCAAATGAATGTCCTTTAAAGGTAAATACAGCATAATACAAGCAAAAATGCCTCAAAAGTGCATTATGCAGTTGTTACAGAAGAAAGAAACTGTTATTGTGCCTAATGCAGCTTTAGGTTCCCCTGTCCTGAAATCAAGGATTGGAGGGATAGATTCCAAGTCACTAACTTCAGCTAGACAACCCCATAAACCAGGTCAAGCTTTTATAATTCCTCTGTAAACTGCTGTCCTGATTTATGTAATTCCAATTTATGACTCCAGCAGACAGGTGGTCAAACAGCCCAGTATATCTGTTTTGATTTACGGCTCTAAGGCTCCTAATTCACTACAAATGCAACATGACACATCATACAGCAGTTAAGTAAAATCCTTTTATAAAGAATCAGAAATGACTCAACTTTCACAAGGACAGATTTGGCAGTTTGTTAAAAAAATGGGAGCCTAAAGAAGCCAATTCCAACTTTTTACAGTAGCTCTTTCTCACTGTCTTCTGACATTCTGAATTCCATTATTACCTTGTTTTTAATCATGTTTTTCCATGGAATATTTTACCCGTTTTTGTCTTCATGCTCTAGTCTTCCGAAATTCAGAAACCCTCTCCAACTACTTTCCTCATCTACAAAAGTAAGAGTGGATGTACTCCAGTTCAGGACCAAGTGCTGTTCTAAAGCAAGGCTGGTAACTGCAGATATCTGCAGGAATCTTGTCCTGACACATTTCATACAGGTTGATTCCAGAGACACTAGAATATCCTAGATTTTTCTAAAGATTTCTTCTAGTGACCTTCTTTAATAATGGAAAATAAGTTTTCCTCTTATTTTCAATATCACCAGTCATCAAAAGATTGCTCAGATCTACTGCTACAGCCTTTTAGAGGACACAGTGGCATAAAGGCCTTCCCATTTTGTTATGCTCAATAAAAAGAAGAAAAAAATTCCAGTAAAATGCACAAGAAAAGTCTGCTGCTAGTAAGAATTTTTCACTTTTTATGTTGTTTCACACGTTTGCTCTGCTACCTTACCTCTAATTTTCCCTGTAAAATGCAACTCAGGGCACAGCACTAATTCAGTAAGAGAGAGATCTGTAGGAGCTGATGAACATCCACAGGCAGGGCTGGGCAACTCCCAGGAATGACATATCGAAGTGACTGTGAGCAACCATAACAGTGACTTTTCTGTGTAAATTAGGCATGTCCTGTATCACATTGGGGTATAGCTAAAAACCCAATCAACCAAACCTTCCACACTATTTGCTTCACCACGTAGCCTTTTTCTCCACAGATTTTAAAGTAACAACTCCAAACTGTTAAAAGCTGGATTTCAGGATGAGAATTAATGCCTTGTAGGGACGTTAAGCAGTCATGAGGTATTTCAAAGAATGCCCTTGCTTGCTAGGCTGCATACAAATAGATATATACTCACGTTCTTCCCTGCTGTATTGAGGATGTCTCCTATGAACACTGTTAAGTGAATCATCTTCAGCTTTTTCAGCTTTCTGGACCTGGTTGTGGTTAGACCACAAAACGCTGCTGCAACAGAAGGTAGCACCAAGTCTAAAATCAGTGGGTTCTCTCTGTTCCAGAAGAGCCTGTGTGCAGCTTGAGATGCCTCCAGATTTCCCATCTATCCATTTTGCAGAGTATCTAGGTACTGGGGAGTCAAACTGTGGGAGTAGTTTTCTATCAGTCTGATGTCTGAAGCTAAAAAGCTGATGTTGGGATGGTTTTGAGCTTTCAGAATCAGAGTCCAAATCCTTGTTTTGTGCATACTGTATGATCCAGTTAATTTTTTTGCTCAAGATATTTTTTACTTCTGCATATGGACTTTTAGACAGCTTTGATCGTGGACAGTCCTGATTTGCTATTAAATGGAATTTTTCAAAGCAGTCTCTGTGCCCCCTTAAGGACCTTGTATGTAGAAGATCCGACTTTGGTACTCCTGTAAAGACACAACAGAAAAAAGTTCACTTACTGTATATTCAGCTAATTTCCAAAAATCTTTAAGCACAAGCAACCAAGAAACAAAAACCTAAGCACTGCTTTCCTACTAAGAATCTTGTCACTGCAGCAAACAAGGATACCTCAGTTTAAAATTTCTAAAGTCTCACTCAGTCTTGAGTCCTTAGCATACAGAGGATTTTGCACACCACCATCTCTAGTCCAGGACTTCAGTCTCTTGGACGGTAACACAGATGAAGCAAACTGCTAACTTCAATACATATTGCATCACCCTTATATACACGTGTATAAGCTGTACAGATAAAATAAACCCAACTGTGTGTCAGCAAGTTCTATAGAATGATACTGAAGAGAATTTTGACAGCACTCATACATGCTCCCATCTTCTATGCATAATGTTATGAGCCATCTGCTCAATGAATACTGCAGGGTACAGGCTTGTCTCATCCAAGTGGTCAAACATAACTCAGATTTCAGTCTTGGTTTATTATTTTGCATTGGTACAAGCCTGCAGCCTGGCTAGAGAAGCAAGTTCCAATACTGTCAACAGTTGCAAACATTAAACTGTCCTGAAATTCATTTCATGTGTGCTGGTTTTGGCTGGGATAGAGTTAATTTTCATCACAGTCTAGTATGGGGCTGTGCTTTTGATGTGTGCTGAAAACAGTGTTTCCATTAACACTAAGCAGTGCTTACACAGAGCCAAAGCCTTTTCTGCCTCTCACCCCACTCCACCAGTGAGGGGGCTGGGAGCACAGCACAAGGAGTTGGGAGAGGACACAGCTGGGACAGCTGATCCCAACTGACCCAAGGGATACTACACACCATATGGCATCATGCTCAGTATATAAAGCTGAGGGAAGAAGGAGGAAGGGGAGAATGTTTGGAGTGATGTGATTTGTCTTCCCCAAGTCACCGTTATGCATGATGGAGCTTTGCTCTCCTGGGGATGGCTGAACACCTGCCTGCCCATGGGAAGCAGTGAATGAATTCCTGCTTTTACTATGCTTGTCTGTGTGGTTTTTGCTTTCCCTGTGAAACTGTCATAATCTCAATCTACCAGTAAAGATTTTCTCCCCTATCCCACCTGGGGGGAAGAAGTGAGCGAGTGGCTACACGGGGCTGAGTTGCTGGCTGGGGTTAAACCATGACATCATGTAAGATGGATGTTTATTCTCCTATTTGCTCGTCCTCCTCCAAAGACTATTCAAATAGCTACAGCAGGTAACTTAAACCTCAAAGTAACTGATAGTGATTGACAGGTTAAAAAGGAACACAATCTGTGTTCCAATCTACAGCTGATGAGAGATGTATACATACAGATGGCATGAGAAATGACTATCTCAGAAAGTTAATAGTACCCCAGTACAGAATTACTTTCTGCAACTTCAGTAGATGTCATTAATTTCTCTTCAGATTCACCTACACAGTAGATGTAGAATCCAAGACTAGTACTGAACAGTTTGACATTTGTCTCCATACCCAGTACTCTATCTGGGAGGTTCCCAATATGAGAAAAACAATTCTGTCAAACAAGTTCCTCATTGCAAATAACAATAATATCCCTGTGAACCACTGGTTGAAAGCACTCAGTGCCAGAGTATTTAAATCAACACACAATAATTTGACCTTTGAAACTAGGCAATGAGAACCAAGCTGCAGCCATTTTACCCTTTAGAGCATAAAAGAGATTAAAATAAAAGAAAAAATGTGAAATGCAACAAAATCTGATAATAAAGATACTAACGACCAATTAGCAGAAAGCTACATGTTACAACAATTCTAAGTTACATCTGATTTATCCTCTTTAATTCTTGTGGTAAACTTAAAGCCCCACACCCCAAACAATAAAAAATTGTACGTTGGGGTTTTAAGTTATTAAATGCCACAAAATCCCAAACTAAGCTACAAAGGTAAAATTCTTACCATGAAACTAGTGAAAACAAATCCATGCACTTCATTTTGATTATCTCACTTGCTGGTAACTAGTGCTTGAAGCTGAGGAGCTCAAATGCTGAGAGCAGCCGCTATAAACTGCTGATTTTCCACTCTTTGGGCAGTGCTGAAACTCAAGTGCATTGCTGTTCTGGCTGAGTTTGTAAGAGCGTAGACAATTTACGTGGGAAAATGACGAAAAGAGTGGAAAATGGAAGAGGACAGCAAAGGAATTTATTTTGCTCTTAGCAGCAGGGGAAGAAATGGTTATGTCATGGAAACAGATATTCCTTCTGTTCATGAGCTAACTATTAGAAGAAACAAAAACCACATACTAACAAGAGGCATCTGTTAAGAAGGAAGTGCTGGAAGCAAAGTATAAAGACAGATGATGCCTTCCTTGAGCACAAAGTCAAGATTGTCACTCTGCACTTCAAAATAGTTTTCAACCTCTTTCAGCAAACAGACATCCACTAACTTTTACGCTCTACATGATCTACTGCCCACTTGCAATGCTATTTTCCCTCTTTATTTTTACAGAGACTTAAAAAACCTAAATAAACATTTCTAGTGAAAACAAGGAAAGACAAGCCATTTGTTTTCATGACTTATCAGCACTATTTAAATAGAGCAAGTCTGTTTAACTCAAGTATCATGATGGAAATCTTAAATCTTTAAGCCATTAAGGAAGAGCAAACACTGTCAATTGAGGTTATGAGGCAAATATATTTACAACGTTGCAAATCCTCCAAAACCTGAGTGATTTGTTCAATGTTATTTGCTTTACCAGAGTGATTCTTCAATGTTCTATGCTGCTGTTGCTTATAGTGCTTTCTTTTACTTAAAGAAAACATGTTTTTCAGCCAATCTGATGGTGCTTTGCACAGTTTTCTATAAAACAATGCTCAGGAACCCACCTAACAATTTGACCATAAGCAGAATGAGTGAACCCAAATGCCTTCTGATCACAAGACAGAGTAATCCTGTCTGAAGAAAATATTTGAAGATTTGTAAAGAGGGAAGAGAACTGCAAAAACCACAATTAGTAAATGTGGGACAAATGCAGTTTTGCACAGAGTGTTTCTAGTTCACAGCAGCTAAGAGGTAATAACATTCCATTTGCTCTCAGGAAACCACCTCCCCCTAACTCAAAAACCAAACATACCTACCAAGTTCTTACTTCCTTATTTTCTCCTGCATCACCTCCTTCCCCAAAATTAGGGAAAG